AGACTTCTTTCTCTTTTACTCCGACGAAGGACTAGCGTCCGAAACGTCAGTAAGTTTTTTCATCTTTTCACGGTGTATAATTTACCTTTTCATCACTACTGTTTCATTAGAAACACCGACGCAGCTCACACTAGTTTTTAGCTAGTTATATCTCTTTGTTATATACGTTGTCTTAGCCTTACTAGCCTTATCCACATCAGGTCGTAAAGGCAAATCTCGATCACATTCCTGGACAAGAATTTTTAACTAGCCATACTGTGAGGTATTAATTTTCCTTCACTTCTCTTTGGGCTGTCCAGACATTATAAACCCCTCGCTTTTATGTTGGGACAGCGCTTCAGCCTTCAGTATACTGTATAAACCCCGCACCCCGTGCACGCTATTCAAAAGGCAAGTTTCTCCCTCCCTGGGTCTGAAAGTGGTTCTTAATGAAGGAATGAACACAATCAGGAAAGAAGAAAACGATTAGGTAGGAAAAGATTTAGATTCAATCAACCTGCACCCCAAGACTGGAGCTGGGATGCCAGCCCCCGAAGTGGATACGGAAGCCGGTCGTGACGACACCGCGGGTTGGCTGTGCAATATGACAATGAGAGGATCCATGCAAGATTTTCAGGTTCGAAAATTGTCGAACCAAAAAAAGGGTTAACGTCAGTGATGACGAACGGGAGATTTGGGGCACAAACCGTGGGAGACTCCGGAAGAGCCATCAGACCTGTTGAAGTCCCAAACTCATACCGGGGAACAAAATATACAACTTGTCTGACTTTGAAAACGGGGAGTTTGCTACATCTCTCCCCCCCCTTCCCAAACCCTCCTTTACCAAAAAACAAACCAGCGCGAGACAATCAGTTTCCCACAATGCTTTGTAGTCAGAAATTCAAAATGGCGGCGGTGTCGTAGGAAACGGGAAGCAAAATACAGCTAAAAGAAAATATTTTTATGCTCAGAACTTTCTATAGACTTCTCCTTGGCGGAGAAACATTTCATCTGCAAACGTCAGTAACAAAGGAACTCAAAAAACTTTGCATTAGGCATTCTAAAAGACGTATAAGTCCGCTCAAGTTCTTCCTTGACTGTCTACTCAGGTCTAAAATGGAAGGCGAAGTTGGGAAACTTTTATCAAGTGAATTTAAAAGTATCCTTACCCCAGAAGTGAATACGCTTTTTTCGGCCTTTATTGATCATGGTTATGAGGTAAGAATAGTTGGTGGAGCTGTTAGGGACTTACTTAAAGGAATAAAACCAAAAGACATGGATTTTTCGACCAATGCTACTCCTGACGAAATGATCCATGTTTTTAAAGATAAGAAAATTCGCTATATCGAAACGGGTCTACAACATGGAACACTAACAGCCCATATAAATAAACAAGACTTTGAAGTTACTACTCTGAGAATTGATGTGGAGACTGATGGTCGCCATGCTAAAGTGAAGTACACGAATGACTGGAAACTTGATGCAGAGAGAAGAGATCTCACTATCAATGCTATGAGTCTAGCATTTGATGGGACGTTGTACGACTACTTTAACGGAAAACAAGACCTTGAACACAATCAAGTTAGATTTGTTGGTGATCCAAGGCAGAGAATAATGGAAGATTATCTAAGGATCTTGAGATATTTTCGATTTTATGGAAGAATAGCAACAAGTCCAAACCAACACGACAAAGAAACATTAGATATAATAAAAGATACTGCTAAAGGACTGAAGATGATTGCAGTGGAAAGAATTTGGGTGGAACTGGCCAAGATACTTGTTGGGAACCATGCTCCTAGTTTGTTGAAACTCATGTATGATCTTGATGTTCCCAGCTACATAGGTAGGAAAATTATTTTTATTTCAAATTATGAATTAGCTAAATTAAAATGCGCAATCCCATGCATTGGTTATTTGTACCATAGCTCTATAGACTATACGCTAATTTAATGGACCATGTTTTCCCATTGCAGACTATATGTCATTCTCCTGTAATTCTTTGTTCCAGTTGTATCCATATTCATGTGTCTTCTCGATCTCAGGCACAATCATCAAACAAAGAAAAGATACTCTAGCTATAGGGAATGACACGTGGTCTGAAATAGTAAAACATTATGCTCAAGCTGAAAAGGTCTATTGAAAAGGCAAGTGCTATGTTCTGAAGATTTTAATGGGATGAAAGAAATTAGAGTTGCACTTAGCTTTGACTTGTGCATGCATCAAGCTGTGTGCAATTCTTGCACTTCTCCTATAATTAAAAGCCTTTGAAAATTTATTCATTACTCAAAAGATTCAAGCAAGGTGTTGTCCTGAGTGTTATTGATTTTTCTTTGGTCTCTCCCTTAATTCAAATGTTTTTCTGATTCTTCTCTCTGCTTCTTAGTTAGCCATGCCATGACTTTTGATTAGCATAGAGATTTTTTTCAGCTTATCAACAATAATGGACCAAATCCAAAATATTTTGCACATTTCAGACCACATGTCATTCTCTTGAGAATAAGATTCTTTGTTTAAGTTGTATCCATATTCATATGTCTTCTCATGTGCAACCATCAAATATAGACACATGGTCTGAATGCAGTAAATTAGGTTTGTTTACATGTTGTTCTTCTATTTTTTGTGTCAAGTTGAATGAAAGGGAGTGTTACTGGCTTCTTGCATAATTAAGAGCCCATAGCTTTGTAAAGCAAGTGTTTCTTTCAACTGTAGAAAGGCATATTATAATAGACCATTTTCAAATTTCAAATTATCRCTGTGTTACTTGATTACAGACTGATTTCCACAGGGTTAGCCTTGTATCAGTGTTTAAATTATTCACAAATACTAACAGTAAAGTAAAGAATGCACAACTTCAACAATACAAATACTTTGAAGTTCCACTGACCTTATCTCAAACACATGTGCAAATATTCTACACAAAATTGAGGCTAACCCTGTGTAAATGAGTCTGTAATCAAGAAACACAGTGGTAATTTGGAACTCAAAACTGGCCTATTAAACGGTGAAATCTTACTGAGTGGATTTTACAATTCTATAGGACTTCCTGGATACAGCGAAGAAAACATGAATGAATTCTGCAGAGCTTGGAATGAAAGCAAAATGCATGCACTCCAGCCTGTCACTCTACTGTGCTGTCTTGTCAACACTGAATACGAAGCAGAGGTCTTAGCTAGAGATTTGAAGCTGTCCAATGCTGAAAGAAACCTTGGAAAATTCATAACAGAACACAGGGATCCCAAGCAACATGAGGATCCATTAAAACCATACCTTGACATGCTTGTGTGCAGTCCAAGTGCGCAATCCAAAGAAACCCTCCGAGGTCACCTCAAAGAACTTTTACATTATCAAGGAAGGCATGATTTAGCAAACAAGATTTCTACCTGGCCAATACCATTATTTCCTTTAAGGGGAGACCACTTGAAGAAACTTGGAATGAAACCAGGGCCTGAGCTCGGAAAGGCACTGAGCCAGCTGAAAGAGATATGGAGGGATAGTTATTATGTTGCAACTGAGCAAGATCTGATGGATAAAATTCATTCTCTTTTAAACAAGTGATATTCTGCCACTTTTGGTGTGAGTCTAAAAAATAAAAATAAAAAGAAGTACATTCAACATTTTTGAGCATACCAGCTTCAAAATGAATAAGGTTTATTAAGAAATACTGTATACCAAAAACACATTACTCTAATTTACACAAGCGTCATTGTCCTAAAAAAATACCATATGATGCCCACTTTAATGACAACAAAACTAMTGATAATAATGGATAAGAGTATTAATGCTAAATATATGGAACTATAAAAACAAGACACTAAAAAAAGAACATTGATTTTGGTAACTATCAGTATCTTTAAGAAAAAAATAACGTTGTGTATGCTGTGTAACAGTCAATTTTCTTTCTTTCTTTTTTTCTTTTTTTTTCTTTCTTTCTTTTTTTTTCTCTTTTTTTTTCTTTCTTTTTTTTTTTTTTTTTTTTTTTCTTTTTTTTTTCTTTTTTGTTGTTGTTGTTGTTTGTTTGTTTTCAAACAAATGAAAAGCTTAATTAAATAGGACAATAGAACTTTTTTTGCTCCAGACAAATAGAGTACAAACATTAAAAGTGTGCAACACTTTGCACTATTTAGTAGTAAATAGTGCTAATTAAACAATAGAAAACAATGGGATTAGCATAATTTAACAGTATTTAGTGGTATTTATGTTACACAGTTATAGTGTTTGTACTCTACTAAGAGTAGAATGAACATCAAAAGGAGATTCCAAGGTGGCATTTTACCCCTTCAATACCCTCTTATGTGGGTGGGAGGGAGGGTATTTACCCTCAACCTCAATCAACAAAATCGAGTCCGTATTTTGCACCATTGTTTTGAACTTAGAGACACTGGATTATCATATATTTTGCTACAGTACTAAAAAAGTGCAAAACACGCTTTATATACTTGGAGCTATTTTAAGATTTGACGTTATTTAAAAAGTGATACATAACGGGGGGTCTTGTGATACAGCATGTGACGTCACGGTTGATAACAGGAAGGGGCGGTTGCTTGAATGAGGGAGTTCAAGACAGTATTGTAGAACCACAACTACTTACCAAATAATACCCACAAATTATCCATCAAATACTCCCGATATCTCCCCTTATCCCCCTCAGTTCTCTTCTCAAGATGTCGAAGACTAAGGAGAAGCAGTTAGGACTTCATAAAGTGATAATGGTTGGAAGTGGTGGCGTTGGAAAGTCAGCGTTGACTTTACAGTTTATGTACGAAGAGGTAGGACAATTATTGTACGCAGTGCGAGTCAGGATGTGTTCTATTTTTGTACTTTAACACTCTCACTTTAAGCATTGTTTTTGAGGACTTATGAATGAATAAGGGATTTTAGGGTAATATTCTGTTGTTGTTTTTTATTTGGAATTCTTATACAACGACAGAGAAATGATTTTGTGCCGAATCATTGATCCTTGAATGAGTGTTTAACAAACCCAACCCCAAAGTCTATACCAAAGACGACCCAATTTAAGGTACTTTCCTGCTCACTCTGCGTCTCTTCTGTTTCTTTTACAGTTTGTAGAAGATTACGAACCCACCAAAGCGGATAGTTATCGTAAGAAAGTCATCTTAGATGGCGAAGAATGCCAGATAGATATTCTCGATACTGCAGGACAAGAAGACTATGCAGCCATTCGTGACAACTACTTTCGAAGTGGCGAAGGGTTTCTCTGTGTTTTCTCCATAACTGAACAAGAATCCTTCGCTGCAACGACTGAATTTCGTGAGCAGATCCTTCGAGTGAAAAGCGACGATAACATACCATTTCTTTTAGTGGGGAATAAATGTGATCTTACGGACAAACGGCAGGTGACGAGCGAAGAGGCAATGGAGAAAGCTCAAGAGTGGGGTGTTCCTTATGTCGAAACTTCAGCTAAAACTCGAGAAAACGTTGATAAAGTGTTCTTCGATTTAATGCGAGAAATCAAGTCAAGAAAGATGGACGAAGGCTCAAAACCTACCGGAAAAAAGAAGAAAGGAAGGATTCGAAGGAAGTGCTTAATTTTATGATTTTGACTTGTACATTGTATACAGAAAGTTTAATGTTGATATTCAAGTATGGTCTGTTTGTTTTTCGTTGTGTGCCGTCAAAACACGAACACGAACATGGCTATGCTCGACCATAAAAATATTATCAAGCTTAGGTCTGTTTTATTTAATAAGAGCTTAAATACATCAATAATCTTTAGCCCTCAAACACCAAAGTTGAAGACAAATTGTTCACAAGTTTGAGAACAACTAAACATCATTTTTTCTTTAGGAAAAAATAATAAATCATTAATTTTTTACGAAATTCTTCAGTTGTAAAATCAAGGTTTTTGGTTGACTTGATTATTTTTGTTTTATTATTTCTTGGAGTCTATGCTTCGATCACTACAAATGATTCAGACCTCGAAGGAAGTTATCATTTTCCTTCTAGTTTCCTGGGTTGTCTGAGGTGAAAATGTGAAATTTCCTGTAAGATATTACATCCCTTTTGTTTACACTGGTGTATCTCTGCCAAAATGTTGATAACTGGGACAATAATTGTTAATTTAGAATAAAAACACCAAAGATCATATGGTATAAGGGATGAATTTGTTCTCGTCCCCATTTTATTACATCTATTCATTAATAATGTACAAAAAACATATTTTGACACAACGTCAAATGTCAAAGCTTCACATGTCAAAGTTAAAAGTATTTCCCACATGCATAATTTCCGGAAATACGCTGCAGATAAACTTGAAGGGATGTTGGATTGCAATCGAAAGTATATAGTAAGCTCAATTTATGCAGGTGTAATGTTTTCTCATTCCAGACCAAATGTCATTCCTTGAAATGGTAGCTATTTGAATGACAGTTTGTCCATGCTAATGTATCTATTCAAGCCTTGCTAGTAAACAAAGGAATATCTTTTTTTCTATGATAGGAAAAGATTATATAGATGTACTTGTGAACTTTGGCACACTTTGTGATGTTATAATTAAGATGCCAAAAAACTTCATAACAGGTAGGCAAAAATCATGGAAATTAAAAGTGCAATGGCCAGCCATCATATTGTCACTTGACTGGCCGAATGCCTCTTGTGGGCTGGTTCTACTGACCAGTCCATGTCCAGAGTTTATCAGCCATGGATTATTTATTTATTTTTTATTGTTTTGGATTATCTTAGTATTAGATATTTGGTAATTAATGACAATGATAATTAACCCAAACAAATAGCATCATTATGTGCACATCTATTGTGTCATATTTCTCGACAGTAAAGAGCTGAGTTTGTAAGAAAAGTTACAACTTGTACAAGACAGCATTGCATGTAAATGAAGATATTAGATAAACCATTGCGAATTTGACATCTGTTAAAGTGTGACATCCAGTGGCTAAGTTTAACTGCAAGTAAATTTTGCTTAATTTCAATTTGCATATGATTTTTCTGGATTTTTGATTTTTTGGTATTAATCAAAGAGTGAGAACTAAGAGAATTTTATTGACTGAAGCCAGAAAAGAACCTGGATATCTTGGCCAGCATTGGTCATAAAAATAGGTAGACCTAAGGATCATTGGAGGTATTCCAACTACCAACATGGTGGCCAATGGTGTTTGTGTGAGGCATGATAGTGCCAAAATTAAATGCATCACACATCACCAAATTTTTTATGACTTATCTTGCATCACACATAATGTCCCATTATGACTGTTTAAAAATTCAGCATGATGACAATTGGGAACCCCCCTCCCCTCCCCCTTGGCCACCCTCTACCAAGACAGTAAGCACTTCATTGAAATGGACCAAATCCACTTGTGCATAATGTTTTGCCCATTTCAGACAATGTGTCATTCCCTTGAGAACAAGATTCTTTGTCATGTGCAACTATTAAACAAAGAAATGATACTCTAGGGAATAAAACATGGTCTGGAATGGGAAAACAGTGGCTTATCAGCTTGAAGATGCACACAGAAAGGTAAACTGTAATCAAGAGCTTATAGAAACCCAGTTTGCCAATATCTCTGGTCCCATTCTTGCAGTCATCTTGAAAGAAACTTATTTCTTTGTAAAATAAGATAGTTGTGTGGCCAAGGTATGGGGCGTTGCAATGTAATTCTTTAAAACATTATTTCTAGATTCTTGTTAAATTTATTTTTTAATATTGAATTTTTTCTTTTAAATTTTGACAATGGCCTCCATACCCCAACCTCCCTACACTACTGACTATAGTTATGATGTAGGGCTTTGTTAAAAAATGGCATCCATATAATTTCCATCTTTATTGAAAAATATTTTGTTTTGTTGTGTGGTGTGTGTGATAGGGAAGTATAACATTTTAGGCAGATGGAAAATCCCTCGGACCCCTTCCCCATGGAAAAAAAACCAGGATATGCCCCTGCAAACTTACAAGGATGATATTGATGATATACCATCGTATAATGGCAGCCATGACAGGAGGCAGAAAAAAAGTGAGTGTGTTCTAATCTGATATACATTAGAAGGAATTCAGTTTTCCCCTGGGAAACAATTGTATTCAGGTTGTGCATCCTGTTATGGCTGCCTCTATTAATGCTTGTTTGTCACAAGGCTGCTAACCCCAGAAGTACTGTATATTCAACTCTTGAGAATGGATAAGGAATGGCCGTCACAACACCGCGGGTTAGCTGTGTAATATTATCATGAGCAGAAGATTGAAAAATTTTTCAGGTTTGAAGATCAACGAACGAAAAAAATAGTTGATGCCAATGATGATTATCAGGGAGATTTGGGGCATTATCCGRGAGACAAGATTCCAATTCTTGAGACTTCCAGGAAATCCAGGAAAGTTGGCAGCCCTGTTTTCATGTCAATTACTAGGTCAGAAATGATGGTGTTTGCAAAGACATTTGCTTACAATTACTTTTCGCTTCAGGGGAACAAGTGAATTCTACATATTTGGCATATAAAATTGATTTATTATAGAAAACGTTTATGCAAATTGTTTAGTTAGTTTGTTGGAGAACAAACTTATCTTAAGGTCCCTGTCTTTGGACCTTCTATCAATCCTTTGGAGGAGATTTTGAATGATTGCGAAAAGACACGCACGGCAAGGCCCTGGCTAAACGAGGGAAACATGTTTACCGCGTGCATGTTTCCTCGATGTTTCCCAGTTTAGCCACATGCGAAACATTGCTGCGTGCAACAAATTTTGCTTCCAAGACGCAAAAAAATGTTTTTGCTGTGCGGCAGAAACATTTTATGTTTCCAAGACACATGGAAAATTTGTTTCCGGATGTTTCCTGACAGTTTTGCCACGATCGCGGGACGGYACAGCAAGCCAAAACCTTAAGTTTTTCACAGTCATTCGAATTCTCTCTTCTCTAGATCTGACACTGACATGGGGTATTTGCTTTGCGTTTACTTATTTGACAGAGTTAACATGTTCTTTTTATCATATTAAATATTTTTTCGTCTATGAAATCCAAAAATTCCAGAAAAAATATTAAGGAGTTTGTTCACATTGGCTTGACATAGTTTGCAGGAAACATGCCGTATTTGCCAGACCTTTGAACTCGTCCTTCCATCCAGCCATCATCAATCTTTTCAACATTAGTGATGACATCTCCTTCCATGATGCTGACTTCGTCTGCGGCTGATGCAATATAATCGTACATGGCTACATATCGAGACACCTGAAAAGTGAACCCTATTATTTTCAACACCGTTTGAGGCTCATGGCAAACGTCGAACTTCAAATGAGCCGAACCTAATAACATCAAAGAAGACCGCCTTGTTATCCATTGTTTCAATTACGTTTGGCTTATGTGAAGTTCGACGTCTGAGCCTAAATGTCTTTCCCGGTAGACCAAGGCATGCACCTGGGATATTTTTATCGCCTTCGAATCGTTTGTTATGTTAACCGCAAGTGCATTTCAAATCGTCCACGTGATGTCAACGTTGGACCACGTCGACTGCACTTCGATCACGTGGTGTAAAAAACTTGTCCACGTGGTACAACATTGGCTCACGTGGTCGATTTGAAATGCAATTGTGGTTAACATAATTAACAGACGCTACGAAGGCAATAAAAATTCAGAACGCCTCGGTCTACTAGGAAAAATAGTGGCTCAGTCTAGGCATAGTGCTTTCATTCCATTTCAAGACCAAGACATGGGTGGAATGGGTTGTGCTGTCTCTGCTGTGTTGTTCATGTCTTGTGTCGCGGGTTTGATTCCCGGCTGAGCTAAGTATGTGACTTGAGTTTGTTTGATGTGTTTGTTCTCTCTTGCCAGGATGGTTTTTCTTCTGGTTCCACGGTTTTTCTCCAGTAAAAACCATCATGTGAGTTGAGTTTTGCGTGTTGTAAAGAATGAATGTGGTGGTAGCGCGAGAGGAGCGCGCATCATGGGGTGCAGCGAGCGAGGAGTGATTAACCAAAATGTATAATATGATACATTCTTTTCTCAGTGGATATGAGTTATTAACAGATTAATAATCATTTATAACGATTGATATTATTCATTAACACATGCTTAAAAAAGAAAATGTCACGCCCAAAAAATTACCCGGTCACATAACTAAAGGCTGCATGTAATAAACTTAATATTGATAGGACGCTTGCGTGTTTCGTAATACTCGTATGACTGTAAAACGCCACCTTACGGTACGCGACACAGTAGGGACCTTAAGCTGCTGGATGGCAACGACGACGGCAAGCATACGATAGCACTAATTGCGATATTCAATTAATAGACTCTTGTTGGAATGAACGAAACACTGTGCATCGTTCTATTATCAGACCTTGTGGCATCCACACGGCATAGAACCAAAATCACCAAAACGCTTCCAAAGAAAGCAACCCCCCTAAAACTAGCGAGGGCCACGTTACCGTGCCGTCATCTTTCAAGGTGTAGGAGCAATAGTTAGTMATTACAAGTATTTCATACCTTTCGTTTTACTTGTGGTGGTGGTGGCTGACCAGCAACAGCTTGGCGAGGATCACGAGCTGAGCAAAGAGACAGAGCACGTTAAACATCTTAGGTGGCACGGTGCTCTAAAATTTACTTGTACGTATACTAACATAAATGCGTACGTGTGTGAGGATGGGAGAACGGAAAGAGAAAAGGGGAAAATGAGAGAGTTGATTGGTTGTTCTCTCCTGTCTATACTTCGAGGGTTTTTCTCCCGATTCTTCGGCTTTTCTCGCTATGAAAAAAAATCAACTTCTAAATTTCAAGTAGTCATGGAACGAGGTCCGCCGGTTTGTTAACTACTGGCTATTGATTAACCACTGGTCCTCGTAAAACAAGGGCGACTGATTAATTTAGATGCACAAGTATAACTTTGTTGGATATAAAAGGGTCCAAACCCTGTTTTTAAAGACCACAAACTCATTTGTACTTGTTCAAGGCGCGAATGTACGGAGCAATTTTCTCTGAAACTTGTGTCGCAACAGTGTTGCGACATACGTTGCAAGCGTGTCTACACGGTGCAACGGAGACGCAATCATTGCCAAAAGTAGAAACGAATTCTACTTTTCCCAACAATTGCTGTGGTATTTGCCGAATGAAAAGAAGACACACCCGAAAGCTGGGTACTACTCCTCGGTGAACGTACCTGCAGATCGAGGTCCACGTTCATTGTGATAAGCCACGTTACTGATATTGTGCGAAACTTTTAGGTTCCTCAGGGTCTCGGGGTCGTCGCTGATGGCGGTGTAATGTCCTTTGTCTTCATGAAACTGTTTTTGATATTCAACCTGAAAAAGAAGAGCGTTGAATTCAGGAATACGAACATGCATGATATACTAGACTTATAGAAGATGCTGACGCTTCGTGCCGTGACCGCGACGATGTCATGTTCTAGTATTTGATTAATTTGAAGAGAAGTGAACTTGTGCGCTGTGATTGGACGAAAAGTAAGATCGTGCGGCTGTGACTAGCTCAAATAGTGTCAATTATTCCGTACGTACCGCGAAGATGCCGTGTGACACGGGGTGCATGTGTGGTGCAACCTATATATGACCTCAACGCATCACAACGCATTCCTTCATTGACATCCCTTCAAATCACCTCTACGACATTCCCATGAGTGGCAAAGCGAGTAGGGTAGGCTAGGGAGGCGACTCTTCCGCCCTCCCCAAACAAACGTTTCCTACTGAACTCGTAGATATGACGGCAAACTGTAAAGATGAAACGCGTGCGTGTGTTTTGTCGGGAAAGTGGCACATTGCCYCCTACCCTTCGGCTCTTCTCCCCATGACTAACCAATTGATTTGAGATCATGACATACAAATGACGTCAATGCGAATCTGCGCTGTCATGAATTCTGCGCAAATTGACCAACGAAAAATGAAAACGTTTCAAACATTGCAATAAAAATATATAATTCACAGTTATTGAACACAGCCTCTTATTGTYGTTTTCAGGAAAAGTGACACCTCAGTTTTGCAAATTCCCTCGATTCTGATTGGCTAAAAATCAGATCAGCTGGAAGAACTCACTATGAACCCCTTGCATGTTCGATCTGGGGGACAAAACAAAACGATTCCAGTCTCCTGAGAGTTGGAACCTATCGTTTTGTCCTTCAAATTAAACTGCATTTCAAAATGCTGGCATGGAATCTATACCCCTGTTCTCTAATCTCTCTTTGTCCATAAGACACAATGGAAAGAAAAGCCACCCTTGAGTTCATTCTTGGAAGCTCCAGCTGCAGTGAAAAATATCCATAATCATTCAAAAACAATTGAGCGTGACGCTTTTATACCACATTCTTAGCATTCTTTACCTGGCTTTGTTGTTTTGACTGCTGGGTAAGACGACGATTTTCTACAGAATCTGCAACAACTGTGTGTTTTGTCTGGGGATAATGCCTTAAAATGTAAAAATTCAATAACAATCAAGTCCATTAAGATAAGTTTTTCAAATTTTTTAATATTTTCCATATCAGTGCACAAGAAGCTGTCAAATTCGTGAATAATATAAAATACCATGCCACTTTGTGTGAATCATATTTTTAGTATTTATTAATTATTTACGCTAAAATCGATATTGTCTCTGTTAGCTTTTGTAAAAAAAAAACTGTTTTAAATGTTTTATATTAACACGTTGAATTATTTACGAATACGTCTGGCAACACGATTGAACACTCATTCACTTTTTGGCTGTATTAAAATCTATCCTAAAAAATCGTTTTATATCAAAACTGATAAAGATTAAAACGCTTTGAATTTTTTCATATTATGTAAGATGTAAATAAAAGCCAATGACTATTCATAAAACATTTCATGAAGCTACTCGTATCGTACTGTATGTAGGTGCATATGATATGTGTCACTCAAAATAATGACTATAGAATAATACTTACGCTTGACAGTAAGGGAACTTATTATAGCCTTTATAATTCTTCATATTTAATGTCATTCCACACTCTGTGCATTTAAAGCATCCTTTATGCCAGATCTGCGGAAAAACGTAGTCGGAACAAATGTTTGTTGTTGACAGACATTTCGGGGCAACGAATGAAGGCTTTTGCTTGTTAAAAAAGTTGCTGCAATGCTAGTGTTGTAAAGGTCGAGGTATGCTGGTAGTTGGTGATTAAATTTCAATGTAAAAATCCCCTTGAGCTACAATTCGTGGGTTAAAAAAGCTGGACAAGTAAAAGCAAGAACACATACAAAAATCATCGATGTATATAAATATACAATTAGTATTTTTACTGAAGTCGTGGTCGTTGAAATATGATTGTTGAAGTACAAGTCATTGACACAGAACAAATTATTCACTAAAGGTACATTCATTGTATTTGCTAAAATGAATGCCCAAACTTTGGCCTAAAAGGATTTGTCATATACCTTTCTTGTTCTTGCAATTAAAAAGCTATCAATTGATATATAGATGTGCAAACATCGAGTGATTGCTCTATATATGTCCCAAACATGAGTATGCGTGACATCAAGTCAAGCAGCCAAAACTGCCTTAATAACAAGCTGCTACTATTATCGATCTTATATTTTGAAACGGTATTTTCGTAGCAAGTCCTACTCAAAGCAGCTTATAAAAAAATGCAAACATTATCACTATTGATTGCAATTTGTTTTACTTTGATTTTCAGTCATCATTGTTCTATTCTTTCGCCGTAAATAGCGTGTTTATTTTCCCACATCTCGTCTTTCAATCCTGATCTCACCTTATCAAGACAGTTCAACTTTTCCACTGGGTACACTGTTTTCAAACATTTTGCACATTGTGGATTCATTGTTCTTTCAGCAGGATTGACGCAAAGTCGTTCTCTTCAAAAGTCAAGACGGAAATCAAGTCGACGAAACAGAATAGCTGGTAGACAGCGAGACTTCAATCGACGGCCGTATGCAAAACAAGCTTGCAAGACGAGAGTCTTCAAATATGACGTGTTTCAGGCTAATATCTGAAGTTTAATCAGTGATGCATATATTGAAAATCATTTGTTAAAAATTCACGTAAAAATGAATGCATTTTTCCACACAATTAAGCGATTTCTTTTTGAAAATCTTTAAAAAAGCTGAATACTTACGAATCAATGTGCTTGAAGAATAGCGCTTGGTTATAACGTTTATATTTAGGGAGAAAGGGTTTATACGCATCAATAATAGATGTATAGTGAAGTGAATCTGATTGGACGATTAACCATAAAAACCACTAAAATGTTAAACTGTTTTGATCAGAGGTTAGACCTTTTACCACGAAATTTGGTATGTTTTCAAAACATTTCATCTTCTCAGGTAATAAATTATATTGGCATGATGTTATGAGCAATAATATCGTCTTGGAAGTTTTCTTGGTGTTTATCAGGCTGTTTAACGTTTCTTGCTTTTTTCTTTCCATCCATGCATCTTTCGTATCCATTCACTAGTTCATTCAGTTCATTCATTCGTTTGTTCATTCATTCTTTCAGGGGCGTAGCAAGGTCTCAATTATATGAGGGGGGAGGGGTGTTTAGGGGCATAGCGAGGTCTCTATTATATTGGGGAGGGGGAGGGGGGTTACCGTTTTCCCGCCAAATCCACAGGAATCCCGCATGAATCAAATACATTTATGTTGGTTGATCAAAGCAATGACATAATTGTCGTCCGATTAACATGACGGCTATGACATGCAACATGCACCACAAGATATGAAGCCTGTTTCAGAATTTCATTTCAGCAGTTTTATTTAATTTTGACACATTTACTAGCACATTACATTCGGTATTCATGATATCCTCCCAGGCTAAAACGACTTCTTATATGATTACCTGCTGTTTTAACCCAAACCTGCTGTTTTAACCCAAAACCGGTCTGACTTTCATATCATAACTTCTGACTGATGATGTCGAGGGTTTATACTCGTATTCATGCTCGTACCCAATGCGCGGTTTCGTTCCTACGAAACGAAATGGTACGAAAATAATTTGGAATTTAATAGTAGCATTCTCGTTCCCAGACCATACCACTAGCCAAATCCTTCGATTATATCTACTTACATTGGGTTGATGACTCGACTATAGCGAACAAATCACCTTTGCAGCCGTTTTCTAATTGGATGTGAAATCTTGTCCCACAAACAACAACAAAGATGTGTAATAAAGCATGAAGGAAGCACTGAGAGCAATCAGAAACGCTGAGGGCAATTAAGTATGAGAAGCACTCGCCTTTTCTTCACACTTTAATTCTTTCGTGCTTACATCACTACCTGCGTGGCTTTATTAATGGACAAAGCAAGAACAAGCTGTTATTATTATTAACTATCAAACCTATGACTTCGTCACTTATCAGTTTTAACGCGCGATAGATTCTTAAGATTTTATACACCGAGTTTCAGGATTTTCATAACCACAAGTCTAAAGGAAACACACAGCTCCTCTGACATTCACCGAGATAAGTAAGACAAGACGTTCTGTATTTTGACTTTTCTATATTTTGACTTTTAGTGAAAAGTAGCTGAACATTTTAATTCAATTAGTCAGTTATGACATACTCGGTGCAAAGGGAACTTATTTCTCAATGACATGCCAAAGGCTCCATGTAAACTTCATTGCTTTCTTGTTTTTAACAGCCTCGTGTTCCCATTT